GTTAGTACCATTTTTACATGATTATTTAAAATTGTTTTCTCTACGTGTGAAACTGAAACAGTTACTTTTAAAGCCAGCGAGAACGATCTTTTCAGGATGTCTCATTTGTTGAGGGTTTGTATTTCTGATTCACACAGCATTGTAAAAACACAACGAAGTTATCAGTTAGCTAGGAACTATCTGTGTTTGCTTTTCCTTAAAGAGATAAATTCCAGTTAAATTCTCTCCAGTGAGTGTTGCACGTATATATTTGTTTGTCCTGTTTCTTTCAAAGTTGTCCCCTGAACTGGAAAACCTGCTCTAAAAGTAGGGGCAATTGCTAAAGCAAGAAATTCACAAGGGACATCAGAGTATTAATCTGAACACCAGAACTCAAGTTTACTCACATGACTGTATAGTAAAAATGCCAAGTAAATGCCAATAACTCTCTTTCTGTTCCTGCAGAACTTTGCTGATTGGAAAAAAATCTTGAACATGTTTTCTGTACTAATTAATATCTTTATTAGATGTTTAACTTGTGCTATTTTACTGGTCTGGTCTTTACTAACCTTTATTCTCTTCCACTAGACTATATGCTGTCATTCCACATGTGGACAGAGGGAGGGGAGTCAGCAGGGTGATCCCACATCCTTTCTGCTCCCTCAGTAGCTGTAGGGTCAGCTGTGCTGGCTGCATTTCAGAGCAGAAGATCTCCCAAGGGTCTCCAAGAGAAAAACATGTAACTTGTATGGCAGCCAATGTGCATATGGAGTCTGCTGTATTCTCTCCCAGCCCTTGCTCTGCAGTGTCCTTCCTCCTCCTGGGTAACACAGCCCTGCTGCTAGTGCAGGCTGCTGATTAATAGCACAGCTGAAGCTTTGGGGCACACACCTCACACTCTCTGTTAAGACATGTTGTCCTGAGAGGAGAAGAACTGGCTATTGCCGAGAACTAGGTTGACCTTGCTAACATTCTGTTCGTTAAATAGTGTCTTAAAACTGCACCAGAAATAGTAATGTTTAATTCTGCATGCTGCACTTGAGAGTTGGATGTTTGGGGAATTTATGGTGAGTAACCTTTCTTTCTTTTCCATCTAATTATTCAAGATGTGGAGCCACCACTCAGCAGTGAGTCGCACAGTTACTCTCCAAGGCAGGCAGAGAGCTCTTTGAGCTCCATCCCTGACACGGTGAGTACTGCCCCTCAGTGGGTTGTCAGAGCTTCATTTGAGTCATATCTCTGTGAGTACATCTAAGGCTGGATGTAGCTGGAATCTTATTTATGGTTTTGTTTTGCATGAGGCAACTTCATGTGTGAGAAGAATAAGAAATGATCAGCTGTAAATTTTCCTAAGTAGTTTAACGGACATGTGGTCTGGTCTCTTGGTAATGCCTGGCCTTGTGGAATTACAGCAATATGACTCTAGGAAGGTGCTAAGTAAGCTTCTGCACTCTTCCTTGATGTATAGCTGCCTTACATTACATGCCTGTAGAGCAGAAGGATTTGACACACAATGTGTTTGCAGCCATGCTTGAACACAAAAATGCCACAGTGTAAGAGTATAAATTCCATGTGAGAGTGGAGCCTTGGCCACATCTTCAGCAAAATCCAGGAGTACATCCTTGGAGACAGAATTAAAAAAAACCAACACAAACAACGGCTCTGGCCTTTCTGTTATTAGTCATTAACTTAATCCTTAGATATTGAACTATTTAAACAGTTGCAATCGCACAATTCTGTTCAAACAGTCTGAAGAGAAAGACACAGCCAAAAGGAAGGAATATCTGAGTGAGCAGTCCTTGAAGACACGTGATGCCAATCAGTTCTCAGCCTCAGCAAGCACAGCGGCCACCAAGAGCTCTCACACCAGAACTGTGCCTCCCCAGCCCAGCAGTAGTTCGGCTAGAGAAGAAGCAAATCATCTTCAGGAGAAAGACTCTCCTTTCTGTGCCACAGAGGATGAAAACAAAACCCACACTGCCCCATCTGAGGGCAGCTCATCACAGCAAGCCGTGAAGAGAGAGGATGTCACTCTTAGCACCAGGCGTGAGGTTTGGTCGCAGACCGAGTGCTCTGTGACAGAAGTAGAGAAGGCAGATGTGGCCACGCAGTGTGTCACCATGCGGGTGTGTGGCTGTGGGGGGTCCCTCCCCCCTGCCTGCAGCCCCGGGCGGGTCCCTCCTCCCAGCGCCGCCGGAGGGCACAAACCGCCAGCCCCGGAGTCACTGCAGCCCGCGGGCACCGGCAGCGCCGCGGG